ACTAAGCCTCATAACCGCAAGTATAGTACCGGTACACACTCCTCATCTGACTTTCATAAAGCGACAACTTGAAACATAAATCATGTATTTTCCAGAACATCTGTTTCTCTTGGCGAGGGAAACACAACATTCGGAATTCCTGATTTTTCAAAACTTAGTTTTCGTATACGATTTGAAAGCCTCGAAATTTAAAGGTTGTTAGTTAGCTATAACAAAACCATCACTTTGTTCTTAAAAACAAAAAAAAAATAATCCTTAACATTTGGATTAAAATATTAACATCCAACTATAAGTATGTTTCAATAAATAACTCAGAAGAAATCTACACATTAAACGTAAACCTAGTGTTCAAAGGTCATATCAGATCTTCCAGCTTTTTTGCTGCTGATTAACTTTATAGAGGGCGTTTATATAAAAAAAAAATTGGCAGTTCAGCGTGTTCGAAGGTCATATCAGGTCTTCCAGCTTTTTGCTGCTGATAGAGGGCGTTTATATAAAGAAAAAAACTTTTGGCAATTCAGCGAGTAATATCTCGCAAATAGTGTGGCATAGGACAGTGAATATGAACAGGAGTTTTAAGGGTATCATGCGAATGCCTTAGTTTTATATTAACTATTCAACATTCTCCAGAAGACTACGATTTGACTTTACGGGAAAAGTATACTTGGTTTTCAAACGAACTAGCGCATATTCTTTCATTCCAAAAGATACTTGAATCTATTTTGACCTATTTGAGGTCAAATCGCTCGAAACTATAGTTTCCAGCTGATCATGGTACAAGTTTTCCCATAATATAAGCTAATATATTTTTATTAACGGAATATAAACAAATGTTTAGTGGTAGGAAAATAAATATTGCCTAACAGGAGAATAATAATGTGTCTTAAAAAAGAAAGGTATCCTGAGAGAGTTTCGAAACTAGATTCTAGCCATATACAGAAGCCTCATTTAGGACATAAACAATACGAGGTATAATTTTGATATAAAGATTCTCAAACTTTTATTAAACTAGTGTTTGTTCAGAAATGGTACCACATCTTATAATGGTAGGTTATAAATCTCTATAGAAGCTAAATTACGGGGTGTTTGTTGTGTTGTAAATTGAGTTTCCGCTAAGTAATAAAACCATTTATGTTACGCGAAGAATATCCAGAAAACTTATAAGAAGCCGTTGAAAGTATGTATGCGGTGAAATTTATTTCATTTTCCAGAAAACAATAGCGCTTACCGTCTCACTTCGAAAAATAATGCACTTTGTGAAGTTATGAGTTGATTCATTACATCTCTGGATAATAAAAAATAAAGCAAACATGTTATAAAACTAAAACAAAAGCTATATATAACTGACACTTGTGTAAGGTGTAAGTTATTAAAAGTAAAACATGGACTTTTAAATTACCAAGTACTTAAACCACCGTGGTTATGAAAAGTCATTTTATAATCCTGTTAACAGTTTCTTTTGTAATATTAAAAATAAACGTTACTTCTGTTTAGTTTTATAATAACAGATTTCAAAGAGGTCATACAAACTACATTTATAACATAAAAGCAAGTGTAGTTTATAGTAAATATTGTTCTTGGTTCATAAAAAGACTTGCCAGCTTCAGTAGTTTAAGATTACAGAGTTATTATGTGATCATTTTGTTTTCTTTAATGTACAAGTTTAGTTTAGCTGAAAAACAGCTGCAGTAAAAAAAAACAAAAAAAAACTCTGTTCATAAATATATATATTCACCGTGGGATACTATGTATGTTGTTTCCAAAGTTTGAATTAATATATTATGAAGTAACTAATTTTCTAGACCTATGCACGTTCATCAAAACGCCATCCCCAAACTCCAATAGGTGAGTGAAGTACAGGATATCTTTTCAAATGCATATTTTTCTAGTAGTTATAAACCTTTTACCAACAAATCTAAGTTCCAGTGATTCATAGAAAAGTCGGTGGGAAATTATTTCCTAAAAATGAAGAAATAAGAAGAGTATACAAATTGTTCTGTGCATATTACAGCATTCTTACCCAAAACTGAGTAGTTTAGCCCAAAAACACGTATAAAGTCCAGTGTCTTCCCTGCTCTACCTCAACAAAGAATGAAACAAATTATTATAATATCATGAATATCTTTCCCTTGTATATCAAATAAAATCCCATGTTATAGAAGTCATTTTTGGGGTGTGTGAATTAACTGTTAAAGTCCTTATTAGAGTTTAATTAGTAAAAACCGCACTACCACTACCATAGTTGAGCTTCGTTGCCTTTTAAATTTGAACCTATATATGTAAGCAAATATGATATTTTTTTCCAGGTCCATTTTAAATCAATTTGTAAAACAACACACTTCATCAATGACTTTTTTCAGTTGAGTGACTAAGGGAGGTATGTGTTATAGACATCGACCTCTGATCAAAGTATAATATTTCAAAAATCATCAGATTTTATGCATGGAAATCTACTAATAAGGGTTCAGGGCCACTAAAATTATCGTACACATTTACTAATTCGGGTTCAGAGCCACTAAAAATGTTGTCATTATTATTATTTTTTAACTTAGTATCAACCAAAGAAATAATATCCATGATCATAACTGTTTTAAAGACAATAAAATATTTATATACGAAAGAAAGAACATTTATAAATCTTGGATTAACTCTAAAGTGGGATAATTATGAAATCGCTCTTTACAACACAAAATTAAAAGTTCTAATATTTCATTTTCATAAAAAAAGTCCCCGAAACATGGCTGTTTTAGCAGAATAAAATGCTCTAAACAAGTTTCTTTTATTTATTATTTGTTCCCCGGTGGTTTGTTTGTTTTTTTAATTTCGCGCAAAACTACACGAGGGCTATCTGCGCTAGCCGTCCCTAATTTAGCAGTGTAAGACTAGAGGGAAGGCAGCTAGTCATCACCACCCACCGCCAACTCTTGGGCTACTCTTTTACCAATGAATAGTGGGATTGACCGTCACATTATAACGCCCCCGCGGCTAAAAGGGCGAGCATGTTTGGTGTAACAGGGATTCGAACCCGCGACCCTCAGATTACGAGTCGAGCGCTTTAACCACCTGGAAGACGGAAGAAAGATAAAGGTCTTATAACTTTAAAACTCAATTCCTATGCGCTAAAATAATCAAACCTTTTATTTTTTCTCCAACTGAGTTTTTACATTTATCTTGAAAAATCTTCCAGAACAGTGAGTTAAGAACCTATCTGATTAATCTGGACATGGCTTAATTATTTCTTTGCCGAGGCTTTTGTTTGGATGAGTAAAGTTTTGAAAGAATTTTAAGCCCTATTTGATAATCTTTGTTACTTAACAACAAAATCAATAGGGTTAGAATATTTCGATCAAAAATACGTTAGTTCTACAACTTAAAGATTTCTTGATTAAATATGATTATATTACGTTTTAAACTGTTTCCACTACATCATATATGATGCTAGAAAACACGTAGGTTCAAGAAGTCTTGACAGAAATGAATAAAAACCCTATTTTACTTAGACACTTAAGTATAGTTTTAAATATACATATATTTATCCATTCTAAAGTAAAATATCCCTAACACCTTTTCACATACACTCTCGTCATCGGCTGCACTGTACCACAACATCATAAATTTTGTTAGAAGTGGTAAGATTCTGGAAATTTACACTTTTATGTATTTTCCAAGAAATAAAAATTTGTACTATGGAATTTTATGCAATATTTGGAAACACCAAAATTCTATTATTACGTAAAGAAATATTCACAATATTTCGATATGTGTATTCTTAAATATAGCATACGCAATTTTTAAAAAAACAACGAAAAGAACAAAATATTTATTTAAGGTTTAGACGTTTTGAGAACGGTTCGTTGCTTAGCCACAATAACAAACGTTATGGTTTATTCATTAATTTTTGAATTACTTATTCTGATTAAATAACGTCATTCCTAGATGTTGGTCCCAATACACTTCTTGAGGCGCTAAAAGGCTCTGCAACAACGTGTTTGTAGCCTAGAAATGCAAGGTGGATGTGCGAGTTTTATCATTTTTGCCTGGCACTCAAGCATGCACTTTCATTAAACACGTGCTTTTGAACCTCAAGGCATTAGTTGGATCGATATTTGGAAAGTAGAAGCTAAGAAAATGTGAAGCGCGAATACCAAACAACTCTCTCAAACACCCGCTATGTAATACCACGAGCGCGAGAAAAGAGTGTAAAACTATTTTAATCACTTAATGGAGTTTTCTCGTGAGTTTTTAGTAAGCAAACTTTATAATGTAAAAATGCAACGATAGGAGATATTGTGCTTTTAGTCCTTGATTTTTCTAAATATTCCATTGTTGTTGTTTTTTTCAAGTGTATTTAAAATAATCGAAAGATGTATACATTTAAGTATTTTCAAGAAAAAAGTTATATGTAGGTATTTCCTACAATGATTTGTACATATTATTAACACTTTTTAAATTCTATAAAAAATTTCTAGCAACTGATATTTAGGTTGGTGATGAATAATATAATAAAACTCTGTGTGTGTTTTACTTTCAGATTCTGTGCTTTTCCACTTGAAAAACTTTCCTATGGAAGACGTGAACAAAAATTGAAATGATGGCGTTAAGTATTTTAGAAAGAAAGACAAAAAATCTTTCACATTATGTCACATCTTTCACTTTACTTCAATATCGTGAAACGTTTCAACAACATTCACGATGAAAATGTTGAAAAGGATTCTGCTGCTTCTTTTTGGTTTATCATTAGCATCCTTAGTATTTATTAGTCGGTGTGGATTGAAGTTGGAAGAGGAGTTAGATGCAGCAGAAAATGTTGGTTTGATGCCTTCTCAAGAGTCTGGAATGGGTTTCTCAGGTCAGTATCTAGATTTGTTACGCCAACAGAAGGAAGAACATGAACGAGAAATTGAAGAACTGCAGAAAAAAATCCAAGATCTCCAAAGAAAACTTGCTGAATTTGAAGGCGGTGTAGACCCAATTATTGTGATCAGCAAATCAACCAAAGATCCAAAAATTCAAGAAAAAAGATGTGTCGATTACATTCAAAAGCAGCTGAACAATGCTGAACTTAAGTACGGCATTCCACTGAATAACGAATATGAAGTTATTCCTTTTAATCATTTCACCTTTAGTCGAGTTTATCCAGTGGAATTAGGCTTAGGTAAGCGCGTAGTGGAAAAGCCAATAGGATCCAGAAGGAAAGATCTGTTAGAAATATTTGTTCGTTCTTTAGAGAATATCAATAAGGAACGACGTGGAAAAGACCGTTCCACGGTAGATGATTTTGTAGAGGGTATGTTCATGAATGAACCTACCACTGGTTCGCAGTATGAGCTGTATTTCAAGGAGAAAAATAGCACCCGTGCCTATCGCAAGGTCACGTTGATGCGTCCATTTGGACCAGTACAGATGATCTCAAAAGAGTTAATCCGCACCTCTAAGGAGATAATCAACTTGATATTACCACTGTCGGGAAGAATTGATACGTTTCGTGGTTTTATGGAGAAGTTTGTGAAGGTAGGAGTTCAGCTAGACAAACGAGTTTTCTTAACTGTTGTCTACTTCGGAGAAGTCGGTCTTCGAGACGTGAGGGTAATTCTCACCCAAGTATCTCGGGAGAATCACTTTCGAAATATCAAATTACTGACTTTAAATGAAACCTTTTCTAGAGGCAAAGGGCTTCAAGTTGGGGCACATTACTGGAACCGAGATGATGTCATTCTATTCATGTGTGATGTGGATGTTGTATTTTCGGATAGATTTCTAGAACGTTGTAGACTCAACACATCTCCAGGTAAAAAGGTGTATTATCCAATTGTCTTTAGCTTATATAACCCTAATATTGTCTACTCCTTGCAAGGCAAAGATATTCCTCTAGAAAATGAACAGTTGGTAATCTCACGTGATACGGGATTTTGGCGAGACTTTGGTTTTGGAATGACGTGCCAATATCGAAGTGATTTCATAAACATTAAAGGCTTCGACGAAGAGATAATTGGTTGGGGTGGTGAAGACGTCATGCTCTACCGGAAGTATGTCAGAAGTTCTTTGACTGTGATCCGCGCAACTGATCCGGGAATTTTCCACATCTGGCACGAAAAATCTTGTGATCCAAATCTAGCAGTGGAACAGTATAGGGCATGTTTACGGTCTCGTGCTCTTAATGAGGCATCTCACGCTCAGCTAGGTCTCTTAGCGTTTCAAGATGAGCTTAAGCGTCATCAACTGCAGAAGAAAGCCGAAAATCCTTCTCGTGTGTCAGATGATTCAGAATACTCATATGTGGAAAGAAACAAGAAAAATGAAATTGAAAACAATTATTAAAGCTGTGTCAAAGTTAGTTCAATGCTACGTTTACGGAAATCTAAGGTTATTTCTTTTCGATTTTGCATTTATGAACGATTTAAATAATATCAAACCCTGTTGGCATGGAATATACAGCACGTTGTATGTTTGTTTGTTTTTGTTTTGCTGTTCATAGACTGGTTCAGTAAGTATTTTATTTTAAACGAAGTAAGAATTAGAAAATATTTACGATAATTTTTGTTGGTCTCTAAAACAGCAGAATTTCAAACCACTTGATGAGACCAATGAAAAATTCTACCTAATCTCGGCTTCTTTTTTGAAATTACCTATATTTTTTAACATTTAAATAAATCATAAGTTCACAATGTATTTATTTTTTAAATATTCAGTTTTTTGTGAATATATTTGCATTTTAATGTTATTTTTGTTTGCCTGAAACCATTCTAAATTTAAAGTGTAAATAAAATATGTTACCACACGTGTTGCGAGGAAAATGATTTCGATCAAAGTAAAATTAAGGAATGTAGAAAAATGTTAAAGAACAGACGCCAGAGAGAGGCATTAAACTCAAATCTAGTCTTCCACTTCTCCCTATTTGTAAATGTAAATGTGTAGTTTGTAGTAAATGTCGTAGAAGTAGACAACCGTCTAAATGAATAATTCGTAAAGTGTCGTTTTCAAAACTCTAAGGTTTTTGTTTTAAAGTCAGTTCAGACTGTTTTCATGTAATTCTAGCACTGAAATTGGATTTTCTATCCATCGTCTTGTTGTATCCTTGTGATATAATAGGTTTCAAAATCCTAATTAGAAAAATCTGAAATTTATTGGTTTAGTATTCCAGAGGCTTAAGGAGGGCTTGCGTGTGAATAGAGTTTAAACCGAATAATACAGTGTTTTGTTTTTGTTCTAAACAATACGATTATTTATTTAGCCACAATTGAAACCTACTGTTCAACACACTGAAAATTTTAACAGATCCCGATATATTCTATGTTTAAAGTTTATAGATGAAGTATTTATATTTTTGTAAACAGAATACATTCCTTATTTTATATTTTTTGAAATAACACAGTAGTTGGTATTTGAAGAAGATCATTATTCTACAAAAGGCATAAGAACAAATTAATTTCTTTAAAATGTACATCTGAGTAATAATCGATAAAGTGAGTTTTAACAGCTTTATCAGTTCAACCTTGCTCTGTTGTTTTCACTGGATGTTCTGATAAAGTCATATTATTACTTTATTTTTTAACACTGTATGCTTGTCATCTATGTGTGTGTGTGTTTATATAGATGCCTAAACATTTTCGATTTATAAAATGTACTAATTGGCATGTATTTATTTGATACCTGTTTCAAAAAAAAAATGAACATCAAGGACAATTCAAGCTAATGTATTGAATTGTTTGTCACATAAGCTTGAGTCTTCCCTTGTTTTACTGTAATCTAAATTACTAGATCATGATAAACGATAAAGCGTTTAAAGAAAAATCACTTTAGTTAATTAGATGGAGGATTATAAAATTAATTTTAAACTATATGTATATTTTTTTACCTCCAAACCTAAAAATACTTAAATTTGTTTATTATGTGCTACTTTTCTTGAAGTTTATATTCCAGTTAATGTCGTTCCATTAAGACAAACTTTTATTTTTCGTTTTTTTTTTCAAAACTTCTTAATTATATGACTAAGTTAATGATAAAGATGTAATTTTTTATAAATCATTTTAAAAGGAAAACATCATTGGTCTTTCTGTTTACGGTTCAGGCGTTTCATATTCTTTTGTTAAAGAGAATGTTAGCCTTTTTTATTCAAAGGTTTACCATTTTTTGACAAATAATGTAGTTGTGATTACAAATAGTACTTAACCTTTAGTTTCTAGTATTTAACTTATTCAATATCATCTGTAAATTTGGTAATTTTAAGATATTACAAACATAAGGTTAATAACGTGTTTTTAGTCAATAATAAACTTTTCTTATATATGTTACAATTACAAATCTGAATTGATAGATCCTAATAATGTCCGAGATTACATCAATGAAACAGTGCAACAGTTTTGATGGTTTCAGGTGTCTGGTTTTTGGTATTGAAGGACATTTCGAGTCTCTTCTGCTCATTTGTATGCCCCCCCCCTAGTGGCACAGCGGTATGTCTTCGGACTTACAACGCTAGAAACAGGGTATCGATACCTGTGGTGGGAAGAGCACAGATAGCCCATTGTATAGCTTTGTGCTTAACTACAAACATACGTACTCATTTGCATGATGAAGTCGAGCGGAAGCTACTCTAAACGTCAGCTTGTACCCAAAAATTGGTTGATGAATCTCACAAAATTTCGACATTAGTCTAACTTTCGTTACACACACAAAAAAGGCTCTTGTCACTGTACGTTATATGTACGTGTTGAAAATTAAAACAGAAAAAGAAAATGGTCGTTTTATTCTTGTATTACTGATCTGTATGAAGTTACAAAATGTCTTTTCTAGACAACATAATAATGATAATATAACGAAACAAGAGCAGTTCAACAAGCATAAATATCTCCAAATATTTGATATTTTCAAGCTAAAGAGCATCATATGCAACATGTGGGTTATACTGCCAGGTTAAAGACCCTAAGTCTCAGGCATAGCCGTTCTTAGTTTTAAACTGCTGACCAGAGGGAGGGCAACCAGTAAATAATACCCGCCGCCTACATGACAACTCTTAACACGGGATTGACTGTGATTTGGATAACCCGCCTATAGCTAGAAGTACGGAAGTGTTCAACAACATACAATGGGCTCGAAACTTGGACCCTGTCTATTTGCAACCATGTCAGGCTATAAACACTATCCCACGCCAGGCCCTTATAGAATATTAAATTTACCAAAAAAAGTAAATGGTGCCCTGATACCCATGGAGTGATCTATTGAATTCATGTTTGCCAATTACTTGTGTTGTTGCTTTATTTATTTTTTCATCCTCAATTCTATATAACCATGTTTACTTGATTTTACGCGTATCATGAAGAACCTTTACGAAAATGTTATAACTGATACAGTAATAACAGCTGCCCTACAACAATTCACTGAAAATATATTATGTTTCTCTATAGAATTACACCTTTCGTGGTTCCAACATTCCAACTGATTTATTTTTCAAAGTAAACAAATAATTAAAGAAGCAAAGCTAAATTTACTTGAAATAATTACTTTAACGTTTGGATTATAAATGAAAAGTATTGTATCTATTTCAAGAGTTATGAAATAAAACTTGACCCTAAGATGAAACAGCTTTTGTTTTGATTATAACTACTAGATTTGTTTGTGGGTGCCTGGTGAAAATGGTGTGTCCATTATTGTCTTTATTATCTTAAATACTATTATAGTAGCCGAGAAGAAAAATTGTTCTTAACATCATGGGCGTCCACAGACATTTTTCCAGGGGGAGGCAAAGTCTTCCAGGGGGGGGGGGGCAAAGTAGTGTGAAATTATGAATTGAATAAAGAATTCTTATACATATGCTGAATGAATAAAGAATGAATTATCTTTCTCATTTTCCAGGGGGACAGTCCCCCTATGCCTATGCTTAACCATATGTAGATAAGCAGGATATTTATAGTCTTTAAAATATGAAGGAAATATTTTACCAGTAAGTTCGTGAAACATCAAGGCACTTTCTATTTGTAATATGTGTATGTGTGTGTGTGTGACTCGTGGATGTGCGTGAATTATTAGGCTTTATTGCTTCAAATGAGGTAAAAATAAATGGAAATGTTCTTTTTGTTTTTTGAGAAATTAAATTGAATCTCCAAACGTTTATGGGTTTCATGTAAAGTGTATGAAAGCAATGTTTTTTGCCTCATTCACGTCAAATTCCTTTGAATTTATTTAATATGTTCCTCGAGGCTTAAACTATATTAAAAAAAAACATACAAATAAGTATTTACATCTTCTCGAAAATTTCAGGCCTAGTAGTCATTTGGAATTTTATTTACGGTGGATCGAAACTTAATGAAAATAGCGTATTTACAAAAACAAAAACTAGTGAGCCAGTGAAGTACTATAAGTTGAAATAATCGTTTTTGTATCGACATTTTATCTATAACTGCACGGGAAAAGTGTTCGGTTTGTGATCTTTAGTTATACGCAACTCATTGCATCAAAATGATTCAATGTACAGAGCTCAAATTTTGCATAAATTTTACTGATATAAACTATAATTTATATTAAAAGTAGCACCGTTTATTGAAAAGATAATAGTTTTTTTAAGTACTCCAGTTTCTCAGTACTACATTTAAAAATTACATCAGTAAATATATAATCAAACCCCCATGCACGGTTCTAGTGAAAGTCGTGTTCTTGTTGTGAGGAGAATACTTTATTTAAAATTGTGTTCTGTTATAAAGAAATGGTTGTTTGTGGTGCCATTCAGTAGATGGCGCAGGAGTTTTGGTTATATACATAGATACTGACGTACACGATATGTTCATTATAGTAAGACTAGTAACCGACTAAATACATATAGACACTTAAAACTATCTAATAAAATTTAGTTCTTAAATGAGCTCTTGAAGTATTTTGCCTGTTTACTTACTAGCGTGACTCTGTAAAAGATAAGGAAAGATATAATGACGTAGAGTAAATCTAATATTAAGAAAAAGCAAAGAAACATTAAATTCAGTCTTATTGTTTTATTGTTTGTTAATTTTTCTTCAAGATAATTCCCAATTCAGTCGCATGTAACCAGATAGATCTTTAAACGATTGTACTTCTTATCAAAAGACTATTTTGTACGCCTTAGGCAAAGAGATAAAAATCACGTTGTTCGTATTTTAAACTTTATTACCCAAAACTATATTAGTATAAAGGTTAATACAAGTACAATTTGAAATAACAGTTTCATCTATATATGAGCTCGGTTGTTTTAAGAAAAGGACAGAGTTACTAATGAAATACGAATAATTCCAACAAAACAGCAGAAATATTACAAATTTCAAACAGCATTGGTTTGTTGTTTGTAGTTGAGCATT